ATAACCCTGTCACCTCCTCCTCGTTTTGGAGGTGATTCTAAGGAATTGAGAGGTTTCCTAAACCAAATCGTATACTACTTTGAGGCTTCCACCGGTTCCTTACCTACCGATAGATCAAAGATTGGCTATCTTATGAATCAATTAACGGATAAGGCTTTAACCTGGGCCAATCCCTTATGGGAAAGTGGAAATCCAGTTGCTCGTGATTATAGTGCATTCTTAGCTGCATTTAAAGCTACATTTGAGCCTAAGGGAAGAGAGAAAAATGCTGCTAAAGCCTTAATGAGAATAAAGCAAGGCACCCGCTCGGTAGCTGATTACGCCATAGAGTTCAGGACATTAGCATGTGAGGTGGACTGGACTAACAGTGGTCTGGTGGCTGCTTTTTCTGAAGGTTTGGCTGAAAATATACAGGATGAGACTGCAACCAGAGACCTTCTGGTAAATCCTAATGATTATATAACATACATGATTGATATTGACAAGAGGCTCAGAGAAAGGAAAAAGAGTAAACAGCGTACTAGACATACCAATTTATCTATAGCACTGATATTCCTGCTTTAAATGCTCGTTTGGCTTCTATCCGTGACACGTGGGATTCGGTTCATTTGGCACTACAGAATGCCTCTAAACGTGCTAAAGTCCAAGCAGACAAGAGACAGGGTGTCAATCCTATCCATCAAGTGGGGGGACAGGGTCTGGTTATCCACACGTCATATCAAGCTCAAGGTTCCTTCCATGAAACTTGTTCCTCTATACATAGGTCCTTTTCGTGTCCTCCGTCGTATTAACCCTGTGACTTATTCCTTGTCACTTCCTGCGCATATGAGAATTGGCAATTCGTTCCATGTGTCATTGCTTAAGCCGCTCACTTGCAATCGATACAAAAAAAAATGGTCGTTCCTCCTCCGCCCCTGGTAGTAGGTGATCAGGAGGAATACGAACTCCGATCTATATTGGACTCCAAGATCTCTAGGGGTGTTCTGTCTTATTTAGTTGACTGGAAAGGATATGGCCCGGAGGAACGTAGGTTGGGTTCCTGATGACCGAGTTCATGCTCCCCGTCTTGTCCGGTCATTCCACAACCGCTTTCCTCACAAGCCGGCTCCTTCCCACCTGGTGAGCGGTTTTCAAGTGGGGGGTACTGTTACGGCTCACGGCTCGCCGTGGAGTGCATCTGTGCCTGACGGGCATGACCGCGGCAACAAACAGAGCTTACCTGCTCGGCGGCGAACTGGGAACCGATCCTCCACGTTGCCCCGGCAAAACGAAGATGGTGCCGACCATGTGGTCACGTCTATCAGTAGCTCAACGCCCTTAAAATATAATAACATGCATGTGATGTCACAACGCCAACTCACACGCACGTTCTGGGGTCAGAGGTCATCCTCTGACCAATCATAGCCTATAGAGGGATATTTAAATCCCTGATTCACCCCAGTACCTTGCCCTGTCGTGGTTTCCTATCCTGGTTCCCGAGAGTGCGTTTTCCTTGTCGTGTATTGTGATTTCCGGTATTTTGTCTTTGGCTATTCCTTGTTATTCTGAATTCTGGTTCCCCTGACTTGGCTCGTTTAAACGGTATTTGTGTATTTCTTGCTTCCTTGACCATTCTTTGTCTCCAACGTATTAGTCCGGCCATTCTAAGGACCGGTTTACGTTCTGCCCTTTTATTTCCTTTCTACCTTATATGTATATGTTACATAGTTCTGCATGTTGGACCACGCTAGCAGTCAAGACACATACACACACAGAATGACGCAGACACACACACTGACAGGCATACACAATCACTCAGGCACACACATTCACTGACAGATACTCACAGACACACACACACTCATTCAGAAATACATATTCAGTGACAGCCACACAGTGACTGACACACTGACAGACATACACACACACACATTCACACACTGACAGCCAGACACACACAATCACTCAAACATACACACACTGACAGCCCCCATCCATACCCCCACCCCAAACACTAACCAATTACCTTTTCTATTTTAGTTTAAATTCACCCAGCCTCTCTACCATTGGGAGTGCTGGGTGGATTTTTTTACCTGGGGTCCAGTGGGGCTTCCGACAGGGAGAGAAGCAGAAACACTTGTTTCGTTACTCTATACACAGGGTTAGGCCCTTTAATTTGGATGACATATTCAGGAGGACCTTACTGTTACAAAAAGACTCGAAATGACTGTGTTACTGTTAATACCGATTGCTACTGTTACAACACTATACACGTTTAAACCTAGGAAAACACAAATGGATTACACAAACTCTTATAAAGACCCCATTCGTGATACGAACGAGAGACCCCACAAATGCTGGCGTGTGCCACCACTTAACCTCGTCACCCCGCAAAGTACCGAACGGTCGACCACCCGACCAGCGGAGTGTGGCGGCCATTAACCACCCAGGCGGCTGCGGTCTGCGGTTAACCACAGACTAATTGATGGGCCTGGGGGGAATCGACGTTCGCACACAAAGCACCGAAGGGAACCTACCGAACGGAGACCCCCTATAGTGGGTCGCGTGGCGGCAATTAGCCTGTGGTTTCTGCGGTTAACCGCAACTCAAGTACCATGCTACCAGGTGGTCCTCGTTCATGTACCAAACGAGTTCCACGACCAGACAGACAGCGGGGCTTCGCATGAACTTATACCCGAGTTTAGTTCCATAAGTTGGAGGCAAGGTCCCGCTGCCCGCTAAACTGTCTGAAAACATGGCCGCCATCAGAGACTCACGATTCAAAATGCCGAACGGACTTTATACGGCAGAAATAGCCCATTCTGTTCGTGGGATTAGAGCGCCATTCGTATGTTTAATGTACCCAAACGCGAGCTATTAAATGAATGGTAGAATGAGCTGTTTTCCTCTATTAATGTTAAAGTTATGGATTTTTATACAGTTTTCTGGGACATAATAAAAGTGGTCTTTTGTGCGCTTGGAGATAATTAGATTGTATAACCGTTGGCCTCATTATCTCCAAGCTGGGCGGGTACTAATTCAAATGATACACTGTACTGTAATTGGTTACCTGTCTGTACTGTACCTGTATTCCATCAGGTCCACAGGGGGCTGTCCTTGGACCCGAGGAATCACATAAATTGCCATGTTGTGTGCCAGTAAAGCCAGTTCGTTTTGACCCTCAACTTGCAGCCTCGACTCATGTTGTAGGGATCCGGGATATTGATGCTTATACCGTGTTTGGGGATATTCTACACTTGCAGCTTACTACCGAAAGACCTCCATTCGACTCTCTACAGCGGGAACCAGGACCTCCAAGCGATCAACCCCCCTGCTAGACCGGGGGCAATCGTAACACTTACCCTATCCATGATATGTGTACCATAACCTTAATATTTCTAGATTATTTTTTTTTGTAAAATGAAAATCTTATTTTTCAATAAAAAGGTCAATTCTGATAAATTACACACAGGTCTTCATTAGTAAAATAAATTTTTGTTTCGCTCTCAGGAACATATTAAAGTGCATATACATGAGTATGGACACTGGTCCTTTAAAAGATATGAAAGCAACTAAACCAAACATAAGTGTAAAACATTCCTGGTGAGCTATATATTACTATACAATATTCGGTGGTCCTGAATAAACAGAAACTTACATTTCCTTCACAAAAATCATTGTGCATTAATAGATTTGTAACTATAACAGTTTCTACATAGGTAAATGTCTATCTCTATCCAACACATATAATCGCCATAATCATTAGACAGACATGTACACAAAACATCGTCATCGTCAACATACATGGTGCTATCTGTTCTGGGGGCAGGAATACAAACAGGACCCTAATAAATACACAATATCAATCCATGGATAGAAATCTCACTCTCTCTACTGAGGATTACATTCCAACAACGAAATGGATTTAGCCTGCAGTTACATTGTGTGCATACAAATAATTATTCAGTTGGAGGCAATGGGGAATTTGTCTGTGAGTCTCTAGGATTCAATGGGATATAATAGGGGTTTAATGCAATTGAATGGGATTCAATGGAAGTAAATGGAGTATAAAGGGAGTTTGATGCGATTGATTGGGATTTAATAGTAGCGAATGTGGTACAATGGGCGTCTATGGGGGTTTAAAGGCAGAGAATGAGAGTCTACGGGAGTGAATGAGGTTTATTGGGAGTCTATGGGAATTTATTGTGAGTGAGGTGTAATGGGAGATTTGGGGGTTTATTGGGAGTTAATGTGATTCAATGGGAGTGAATGGAGTTTAATGTGAGATTTTTAAGTTTTATGGGATTGAATGAAAGTCACTGGGAGTGAATGAGATATAATGGGAGAATTTGGGGTTTAATGGGAGTCTACGGGGGTTTAACGAGAGGGAATAAGATTCAACTGAAGTGAATAGTATATAAGGGGTTTTATGGGGTTTAATGGGATTCCATGGGTGTGAATGAGAAAGGATTGGGTATAATGGGAGATATTTGGGGTTTAATAAGATTCAATGGGGTATAATGGGGGTCAGCTGGAATGAATGGGGTATAATGGGAGATATTGGGTTTAATGGGTATGGCAGGACGGCTGCACGTTCGGGAATTACTCTTCTCTAATAATATATTTGTTCCCCCTTTCTTTCGTATAATGTGCCTGCTCCACTTTCAAGAGGTTTTCCACAAAGGGAATTCATTCACCTCCCGAATGGGGACCACCCTGATAACTCATTTAGAATGTTGGTTTAGGACAGGGCTGACCAACAGGTACATCCCCAGATGTTGTAGAACTACACCTCTCATGATGCCTTGCATGCCTTTAGAATGACAAAGCATCATGGGAGTTGTAGTTCTACAACATCTGGGGATCTACCTGTTGGGCAGCCCTGGTTTAGAATGTTTGCACCTCGTAACGAGGTGTCAAAACCACAAACTGCAAGTGAAGCCTCGGCGCGTGCCTATCCTGGGTGGCAGTCCTTTCGTACAGATGAACGCCATCCAGGGGAAGCATTCGTGGATTGCTTCCCACCTCGTTCAGTTTTCTAACAAGGACCTCCCCAGAGCCCATTGGAATGTTTGCACCGATCAATTAGAACATTGGCAACTGGCAACAAAAATGTGAAACCGCAACGGAAGTAATTAATGAATGCTTCCATGGGTGGCCGCTGTTCGTATAGACGAGCATCGGCCAGGGAGAGCATTTGTGTCCCAAAAGGAGACGCTTCCCTTGCCTGGTTTCACACGGGGACCCTACAAACTGAGGCTGTTCGAGGCAGGTACCGTTGCGGGGGATCCCTGGGGGTTGGTGTGGACATCCTTTGGGGACAATGGCAGAGTTTGGCGGGCTCTCTGGGAAGAAGGCCGGTTCTATCACTAGACGTGGGAAGCCCCATGGTTGGGTGGCGGGAACAGGGGACAAAGGGACTGGAGTTCTGTTTCCATCATACGACCGCTAGGATGGGGAGGACCCGGGGAGGGAACATTGTCCTTGTGTGTAATCAACCCCTTGCATGGGGAAAAGTATAAAGCTGAGTGTGGCCAATAAAGTTATTGGGTTACCCCTGGAACTGAGTGTCTCTTCATTCCCTAATAGCGGAGGTAACCAGTCGGTTTACCCAGGGTCCGCTACAATGGGAATGAATGGGGTATAATGGGAGTCAGTGGGATTGAAAGGGCATAATGGGAGATATTTGGGTTTAACGGGAATGAATGAGAATGGATGGGGTACGATGAAAGATATTTGGGTTTAATAGGAATGAATGAGAATGAAAGGGGTATAATGGGAGTCAGTGGGAGTGAATGAGGGATAATGGGACATATCTGTGTTTAATGGGATTCAATGGGAGTGAATGAGAATGAATGGGGTATAATGGGAGAAATTTGGGTTTAATGTGAGTAAATGAGAATGAATGTGGGATAATGGGAGTCAGTGGGAGTGAATGTGGGATAATGGGAGTGAATGTGGGATAATGGGAGTCAGTGGGAGTGAATGTGGGATAATGGGAGTGAATGTGGGATAATGGGAGTCAGTGGGAGTGAATGTGGGATAATGGGAGTCAGTGGGAGTGAATGTGGATAATGGGAGTCAGTGGGAGTGAAATTGGATAATGGGAGTGAACAGGGGATAATGGGAGTCAGTGGGAGTGAATGTGGGATAATGGGAGTGAATGTGGGATAATAGGAGTCATTGGGAGTGGGAGTGAATGTGGGATAATAGGAGTCAGTGGGAGTCAGTGGGAGTGAATGTGGGATAATAGGAGTCAGTGGGAGTGATGGGGGATAATGGAAGATATTTGGGTTTATGGAATTCAAAGGGAGAGAATGAGAATGAATGTGGGATAATAGGAGATATTTGGGTTTAATGGTAATGAATGGGGTATAATGGGAGTCAGTGGGAGTGAATGTGGGATAATGGGAGTGATGGGGATAACGGGAGTGAATGTGGGCTAATGGGAGTCAGTGGGAGTGAATATGGGAGTCAGTGGGAGTGAATGTGGGATAATAGGAGTCAGTGGGAGTGAATGTAGGATAATGGGTGTCAGTGGGAGTGAATGTAGGATAATGGGAGTCAGTGGGAGTGAATGTAAGATAATGGGAGTCAGTGGGAGTGAATGTAAGATAATGGGAGTCAGTGGGAGTGAATGTAGGATAATGGGAGTCAGTGGGAGTGAATGTAGGATAATGTGAGTCAGTGGGAGTGAATGTAGGATAATGGGAGTCAGCGGGGGTGAATGTGGGATAATGGGAGTCGGTGGGAGTGAATGTGGGATAATGGGAGTCGGTGGGAGTGAATGTGGGATAATGGGAGTCGGTGGGAGTGAATGTGGGATAATGGGAGTCGGTGGGAGTGAATGTGGGATAATGGGAGTCAGTGGGAGTGAATGTGGGATAATGGGAGTCAGTGGGAGTGAATGTAGGATAATGGGAGTCAGTGGGAGTGAATATGGGAGTCAGTGGGAGTGAATATGGGATAATGGGAGTCAGTGGGAGTGAATGTAAGATAATGGGAGTCAGTGGGAGTGAATGTAAGATAATGGGAGATATTTGGGTTTAATGGTAATGAATGGGGTATAATGGGAGTCAGTGGGAGTGAATGTGGGATAATGGGAGTGAATGTGAATAATGGGAGTCGGTGGGAGTGAATATGGGAGTCAGTGGGAGTGAATATGGGATAATGGGAGTGAATGTGGGATAATGGGAGTGAATGTGGGATAATGGGAGTCAGTGGGAGTGAATGTAAGATAATGGGAGATATTTGGGTTTAATGGGAATGAATGGGGTATAATGGGAGTCAGTGGGAGTTAATGTGGGATAATGTGAGTCAGTGGGAGTGAATGTGGGATAATGGGAGTCAGTGGGAGTGAATGTGGGATAATGGGAGTCAGTGGGAGTGAATGTGGGATAATGGGAGTCAGTGCGAGTGATGGGGGATAATGGAAGATATTTGGGTTTATGGAATTCAAAGGGAGAGAATGAGAATGAATGTGGGATAATGGGAGATATTTGGGTTTAATGGTAATGAATGGGGTATAATGGGAGTCAGTGGGAGTGAATGTGGGATAATGGGAGTCAGTGGGAGTGAATGTGGGATAATGGGACTGATGGGGTATAATGGGAGTGAATGTGGGCTAATGGGAGTCAGTGGGAGTGAATGTGGGATAACGGGAGTCAGTGGGAGTGAATGTGGGATAATGGGAGTCAGTGAGAGTGAATGTGGGATAATGGGAGTGAATGTGGGATAATGGGAGTCAGTGGGAATGAATGTAGGATAATGGGAGTGAGCGGGAGTGAATGTGGGATAATGGGAGTCAGCGGGGGTGAATGTGGGATAATGGGAGTCAGTGGGAGTGAATGTGGGATAATGGGAGTCAGTGGGAGTGAATGTGGGATAATGGGAGTGAATGTGAATAATGGGAGTCAGTGGGAGTGAATGTGGGATAATGGGAGTCAGTGGGAGTGAATGTGGGATAATGGGAGTCAGTGGGAGTGAATGTGGGATAATGGAAGTCAGTGGGAGTGAATGTGGGATAATGGGAGTCAGTGGGAGTGAATGTGGGATAATGGGAGTCAGTGGGAGTGAATGTGGGATAATGGGAGTCAGTGGGAGTGAATGTAGGATAATGGGAGTCAGTGGGGGTGAATGTGGGGTAATGGGAGTCAGTGGGAGTGAATGTGGGATAATGGGAGTCAGTGGGAGTGAATGTAGGATAATGGGAGTCAGTGGGGGTGAATGTGGGGTAATGGGAGTCAGTGGGAGTGAATGTGGGACAATGGGAGATATTTAGGTTTATGGAATTCAAAGGGAGTGAATGAGAATGAATGGGGTATAAAGGGAGTCAGTAAGGGTGATGGGAGATATCTGGGTCCAATGAGAGAATTTGAGATTTAATGAATGAACCTGAATGGGAATGAACCTGGTCTGCCCAGCAGCACGTCTCCCGTGGCTCTAGCCGGAAGTCGATCAACGGAGACACACTCTGTGCTCGATTCCCCTGCCTGAGCCTGCGTTCCAAACCCTTTACGTCTCAGAATTCTGTACTTCCGGGGTTTTGCGTTCCACCAGACTTCCGGTGTTTGCGTTCCATCGTGTGTTTTGCTATGATTGGTTACTGACTGGGATCGAACAGATTGTTGGGAAGTGTAGTCCTTGCTTTGCTTAGTCGATTATAACAGTCCAGTTAATAATAGTATTATTTTCTGATAGCACTGAATGATTGTGGTTATCAGAGGTTAATCCACAGATTGTGTTACTTTAATAAAATCGAATTTATGTGAAAATTCCTATTTCCAGGTTGTGTGGGAGGGCAGGGTTGGGGGAAATGGGGATTTTGGTGGTAACCCCCTGCAGAAAGTAATCAGGTAACGACATGCCTTAAAGAATGTAAGGCCATTGAGTAAGGGCCCCTTAATCCCTCTGTTCCTGTACATCCAACTCCTCTGGTCAAAATTAAAGGACCACTATAGGCACCCAGACCACTTCAGCTTAATGAAGTGGTCTAGGTGCCAGCTCCAGCTAGGGTTAACCCAGCCTGCTATAAACATAGCCGGTTCAGAGAAACGGCTATGTTTACATATGGCTTAATCCAGCCTCTAGTGGCTGTCTCATTGACAGCCACTAGAGGCGCTCCCGCGATTCTCACTCTGATTTTAACAGTGAGAAGACGCCAGCGTCCACAGGAAACCATTGAGAATGCTTTCCTATGGACTGACTGAATGCGTGCGCGGCTCTTTCCAGGCATGCGCATTCATCCGATGACGGCAGAAGAAGGAGGAGATTCGCCAGCGTCGAGGGAGAAAGGTAAGTAATTAACCCCTTCCTCACACTGCAGCCCGGAGGGTGGGGGGGACTTATTAATACTATAGTGCCAGGAAAACAAGTATGTTTTCCTGACACTATAGTGGTCCTTTAAGTGTCTGTTAGTCCGCCCATTATACAACGCTGCAGAATCTGTTGGGGCTTTATAAATAATAATAAAGCAACTGCATGCTGTGCACATAATCAGAAAAAGGAAGGAAATTTGTCGTCCATACAGATGCATCCATGTACGGACTGGGGGCAGTTCTAAGCCAGATCGGGGAAGATGGAGGGGAACACCCTGTCGAGTACCTGAGTAGAAAATTATTACCCAGGGAAGTGAGCTACGCGGCAGTGGAGAAGGAGTGTTTAGCCCTGGTCTGGGCTTTAAAGAAACTTACACTGTATCTGTATGGTCAGGAATTTACCCTTATTACTGATCATAATCCCCTGGTATGGTTGAACAGAGTGGCTGGGGATAATGGACGCTTGCTGAGATGGAGCCTAGTGCTACAACCATACAATTTCTCCATCCAATAACGCCCTGGCAAGTTTAACGGGAACGCGGATGGACTGTCCAGGCAAACCGAACTTCTACCATGACAGCCGACGGACAACTCCAAGTTGACCCGAAAAGGATCAATCCGGGTCTGCCGGAGTGTTCCACAAAAGGGGAGCAGTGTAACAGAACCCTACCTTTTGCCTGGGAATACTTATTACTAACCGGCCCTTTAACAACTGACCAGGTACATATACAACAACAGAGGCTATGAATACAATGGAATATGCTTACCCGGTTCATGTGGATTATTTTTATCACAGTTCGGGACTTTTACCAACATTCGTCTATTTATGTGACCCATACGGTAGGGACTCAGCAGGCATAAATACGAATACAAACTACCGAACACCGGACCACCCTGCTATTCAATTATGTGGTATTCTACCTCCCAGACCGGCACATACCATCCGTATGAGAAACGCACAAACTCTTTGTTTCAGTTCCTGGGTGGCCGCCATTTCGGGACTTTTACACGTGTTCGCGGCCATCTTAGTTCACGAACAGCGGTGATTTGCCGTTGAGTGTCTGGAACTAAAATCGGACATTCGAGTAGGCGAACACCGCTGAGACCTCCATAACACCGTAAATTCGTGCTGAAACTACCGACCGTCCGGCCGTTCGGTAGATAGACTATACCACATATAGGGATTCTAGCGACCATCAAGATATTCAAAGATGGCAAGATTTTCGTGCCTTTTCACCACACAAACGAGAACCGAATGCAAGGCCAAAACTTATGGAACTATTTTCGGCTAGTGTGCCTGTGCGGTCGGTCAAAACTTTAAAGTCCCATAACTCCCGAACCCCTTAACCGAATGGGATGATTTTTAAATATGTTGTTCCCCCAGATTAGGGGATACTAGATTTATGGGTGTACCCCAAGTATTTGGGGTACATCCAAAATTAGGGTAAAAATGTGTGTGTGTTAATTATGTTAACTGTTTATCTGAGGGGAGGAGATGTTTGGGATGTACCATGTTTGTTATTGGTTACTGTACTAATTATGTAGGTGTCTCCCTTTCATGGGCAGAATTGCATAAAAGGAGAATCCTTGTCATTAAAACTTAGTTCTTCTTGACCCTTCAAAACGTAGCCTCGTCTCGTTCTAGGATGGGGATTTACTGCATAATTACCTTGCTCCTTTTAATAGCTATGCATGACTCTGCTCTTGTATCTTGTGGATGGGAATAGTAACTTCATTATTATACAGCAGCTTGCCGGGAAAAAGGACATCTCCAATGGCTGAGACCCTCTCACTACCAGGGTAGCCGTTACAGGGGGGACAATAAAGAAAGAGGAGGAACACAATAATAGAGGGGGTGGGGGGGAACAACAATGAAAAAAGGGGGACACATAATAATAAAGGGGGACACAATAATAGAGGAGAGGGACAGGGAGCACACATCACCCTGCCCGGGCAAAAGAGGTAGAGGAGGGCCGAGACAAGTAGAGCCCCTGAGGGGGATCCAGGACCCCTCCCCCCCCCCGGCGGCAGTGGCCGAGAGCCGGCCCACTTGCCACTGCTGGCCGAAAGGAGAGGACCCCCGGACGGCATCCCACACACCGCCCGGGTCGATTGCCGAGCTTCCGCCCCTCCCCCACTACCTCCGGGGGGGGGGCACGGTCCACTTCAGACCGGGCACGGAGCTTGGACCACGTGGTGCGTGGCCCTGTTGAAGACTCGGGCCTGGGCTGCAGATCCTGTACCGGGCCCAAGGAGGAGAGTTGGGGCTCATAGAGCCCGAGGCAGGGTGCCCAGGGAGGGAGACACAGTGAGGGTGCCCAGGGAGAGCCAGACCGCTGGGGAGAGGAACCTAAGTGGCACTGAGGTCAGTCTGATCTGTCACCACCCACTTCCTCACATCTCACACTCCCACATGTAGCATATAGCCAATCATGCATCATCCATCCCGCACTCATAAATGTGCCCCTGTCCGCTAAGCTGCGCACTCTCCCTGGGGCCTCAATGGTTAATATAATTATCATAGGCAGAGAAATACAGTATTATAAAACATATTACAGGGACCCCAAAACATGCAATAACCCCTTAAAAGTATATCCTCGGAATCGGGGGATCTGGGTGAACCACATATCCAAAATTCACCTAGATCCGTTGAGTAGTTTGGAAGATACAGTTTAATGCAGATTCCGCATAACATATACAAACTATATAAAAAATAATTACTGTATAATGTGTCCCCTGTTGTATAGTTTAAACCTACTGCATGATGTCTTTGTGCACCAAATACCGTCGAGATAGCACCATGTAGAAAAGTCCAAACAGTGTCTGTGAGTTAAAATGGCCGCATCCATTATTCTCACCATGTGCTTCATCCATTGTTCTCACCATGTGCCTCTGATACATGAAATGGTGGCCACCCAGTAACTCCACAGTATGTCCCCAGATGGTTCTTAAAGGGCCAGCAGCAGCACAACACATCACATCCATTATGCCCAAATCATGTCTTTAAAGGGCAATACATCCCAGGGGCCATAGTCACATGGCAGGAGGCTGGCAATCCGTTTTCTCCAATGCAAGGTCGGTTCCGCCACATTTCTCCCCTTTCCCAAAAAGACTAACAAGGTATCTGGCCTCCTGTCGGTCAGTGCCTTGGTTAGTCTAGCAACCCACCCACAAAATATAGTCAGCCACAATGAAAAGTTACTGCACCTGGGGAAACGTGCAGCCAGTCTTTCTCCAGGGGCTCCATCACGGCTGTGTGGGGTACGGGTACTCCGGATCTGTGGGTTGCTGAGTGGGCAGAGACCAGCGGTACTCTGCCCTGATGCCAGCACTTCAGCTGGAGTAGTCTGGTTGGAGCCCAGCTGTGAAGAGGGGGTGGTAGGCTCCTCTCCCT